CTCTCTCTGAAGTTTCCAATCCTCAGAATAGAAATCTTTCTTAAGGGTTTCCTTATCTATAATAAACTTATGAGACAATATCATAAGACTCATTAAGGGAAGAATAAGTTGGAGATTGGATACTCTGATTTTCATTTTCTTTATCTGAGGTTTGGTAAACAGTTCTAGAAATACTAGAAGAGGTATCTAATCCTTGTAGGTTTATATAAGAAGGATCATGAGCTATAACTTTAGGTATTTCATATCTAAAGGTTTGGGATCTGGAAGAGAATGATCTCTTTGCAGATGCAAAATCAGATTGTCTGCTATAAGCATCAATTCTGGAAGAGAAAGAGTTTCTCCTATTGAAGGTTATCTCGACTTTCCCAAAATTATCTTGAGAAATATCTTGAATTTGACGAGCAGGTCTAAGGATACAAGGAGTAGCCTTGTCCATAACTCATTTCTCAAGGAGAGTAACTTCATCCCATTTGATGATTCAAGGAAGAGAGACATTAGCCTTTGTCATATCAGTAATAAACAAAGTAGTCTCACATTTCTAGGACTTGAAAAGGACTCTAGATGCACAAAAATTCATGACCTTATATTAGATCCTATAGATAAGAGCTGCGGGAATAGATCACTCTTTCATGTCTAAACCATGAAAGAGAATATTGAGAAACAGAGAGTCTAGGATATTAACATCCATGAGACTCACTGTCTTGTTAGGAAAATAATTGAAATAAATCGGTCCTTGACCTAGACTGGTTTCTACTATTCCTATAAGAGAGTCTTCGAACTTATTATGACGAACATCTCTGAGACACATTAAGATAGTGACATCTATATCTATGTCTATTAAAGGTTTAATTGCAACTTGAACACATCCTATGTGGAGGTATTTGTATTTTTTTTTGTGGTCATTAATCGAATGTTTCGACAAGAGGTGGAATTCTCCTATGTCTTGACCTAAGGGAATATTATTTTCAACATTCTTGATAATGTAATCAAAATTGTTTCTTTTGTTTGTTATTTAGGAATATATAATGTATCCTGAGATATTTCTGGAATGGTCCAGTCATCCATGCTTTGATTGATCTCTTCGAAGCGAACTTCTTCATCAAAGAGGTTATGTTTTGGGGTAATTTCAGGAGATTATTTCTCCTAATCATTGAAGAGAAGGTTTTTGTAGGAGAGGATGAAGAGCTAAAGCTGGAACGAAGAGAGATTAAGGAGAAGGGCAAAGAAGTTTAGACATCATAAAAATAAACCTCTGGTTCATCACCCTTATTTGGTTCCAAAAAAACATATGCTGTTAGATCATTTATAACTTTTTCTTCTAGATCTGGTTATTTGTGGACTTTCTTTTTTTTTTACGAATTTACAAAGATTGAACTATCTTTACCATAACCACCAGCTTCTTACGTTCTTTCTTTTCTTTTGAATACAGCATCGTCGAATCAGCCTTACTGCCCTTAACACACACATGAGACTTACTGCTATAGCTCTACTCAAAAGAAATTAAGAACTGTTGTGCTTTCAGTAATGATATTTCAGAAAAATTAAATTGTACATCAATATATATATATATATATATATATATATATATATATTATCATGGACTAAAAAGAAAGAAAAATAAATAAATAACTTCAATTTAAGTCATTGGGCTTATTTCCTTGAAAGTGAGCAAAAACAAGATAAGTGATGAGCTTCAACTCAATGGATGAATATTTATATCATGGACTTAAAATTGATGTTAAGCTTTCAAAACAAGATATATTTCATATGCTAATGCTTCTTAGACTTTTTTAGCTCTTGACCTTGTCATTGGCCCATCAAGTCCATGGGCTTAGGCTTAGATGTTCTCATCATCTAAGTTTTCCTTTTGTTTTTGGGTTAAGAACTAAATTGTTCGGTGGGTAATTGTACCTATCAAAAAGTAGTATAAGATTATAAAATAAGTTTCCAAAATTATCGTCCCACCAGGATTGATATCCAATTACTTAGAATTTTCTTATTTAATTATTTGAACTTAACAAATGCAAAATCAAATAACATAATTTAAAATTTAAAATAATTATCACCAAATCTTAAAGCAAGTATCACAACACACACCTTAATGGAAATTATAGAAGAGGAACTTAGGACATAGAGGTTTACTCATTCAATCCTTTATGTTCTTTTCCTAATTAGCTCTAAATTTGATTTCCTTGTGATCAACAATTATTCATATAATTACTATTAATACTCAATAGTTATGCAATATTAATATTTTTTTCTCTAAATTAATATCCACAATAGTCATGTAAGATGTAACACCCTCTTCTCATTTTTTGGTAATTATGTTTTATTTAATATTAAGTAGTATTAGAGTGCATTTAAAAGGAAAATATAGAGTATTTTTGTAAGGATTGTGGTGCAGAATAGCTCGCTCAGGCGAGGTAAATCTCGCCCAAGCGAGATTGAACACGAAGGAATATCTTGCTGCAGGGCTATCTCGCTCAAGCGAGATACGATAAATGTTGCCCAACTGTCACCACGCTCAGGCGAGCTGAGGATCTCGCTTTTCGGCGAGATGGGTCGCTCAAGCTAGGACCCACAGGAAAAAATAGCATGCTCTCTGGATACCATCTCGCTCAAGCAAGCATATCAAAAAATAATAGGTGAGACCATTGTCTGCATATCTCGCTTAGGCGATATAACCATCGCTCAAGTGTGATGTCCCTCGCCGAAGCGAGAACGCACAGGGTTGAAGGATATTTAAGAGATTTCTCGCATGAGAAATTGATTCTATTTTAAACTCACGTTCTTCTCTTAAGTTTTTTATAAACTCTCTTTTTCTTTTACTTAGATTAAAGCCTCCGAAACTCCGATTTCTTTTCATAATCAAGCTTGGACATTGAAGCTAAGCGATTTTAAGTAAGTTTCTTCAGGTAAAACCTTGTTTTCTCTGATCATTTTTCATGTTTTTGTTCTTATGGACATCTCTTGGTACTCAAGAGAACTTCCATATGTGAACCTTGATCTTTTTCAATATCTCTCTGTGAGCTCATCTTCGAGGTAAGGAGAGCTCTATTTTATCGTTATATTACAATATTCATTTTATACTCATAGAGTACTGTTATGTGAATATGGTATGAAAATAGATGATTGAGATATCTATTATGTGGACTATGAATGAAAAGATGTTTGTTTGACTGTTTAGATAGATTGATTGTCTGGAACAAATGACTGATATATGCTTATTTGCATTGTATGATGAGTACTTGCTAAGTGATTTTGTGTGATTTTATGAAATATATTTGAGTAAAATGATATAAGGAACAATGTTGATATCAAATATTTATGGTTGAAATTGTATCAATGAATGTATGAGTAGAATGGACTTAATCTGGAAGTGCTTTACTAAGCACGATCTTATGAGAGAGAAAGAGAATAACATTGAGAATGACCTAAGAGTCGGATATGGATTGGATCTAGTATGAATAGTTACAGAGATACACTGGGTATAGAGTCTGGAGACAATGAAAATTTGGAGGAAACGTAGGGTGATGAGCGACATTTGTGTATGTGTACACACTCTTTCTGAGAGCGAATGTGTCAAATGGCCTCACACTCATTTCCTGACTAGACTTCTAACTATGCCTTTATTAAGAGGCCCGATTATTGTACATGTTGTATATGTGTGCATAGGCTAACTAGTTCTATTTACCTAGTTGAGTAAGACCTTGAGAAGTGTTGGAGGTATCGATATCTGTGATCATAGTGCACTGAGAGTGTGTGTTGGAATAAGAGAAAGAAAAATGGATAACAAATTGTTGATTGTTATGTGTGATATGAATATGTTTGTAATATGAAATCATGAAATTGAATGTGTTGTATTTGTATTAAATTTATGATTTTATGCTAAATGTCTGTAAAGGATAGAATAGACGCTCATCCTTATTAAAAATTTCAGGGAATCAAGATGATAGATCCTCAAGGAAGGATTAGATTAATAGAGAGTTCCGTACATTTTAGGTTAAATTATGTATTTAATGAGTATCAAAGAGTAAATTATTTTAAATTTGTTGTACTTGTAGAAGATGAACCTAGAATTTTTGTTATGATAGAAATGGATTACTCGTGTAGTATTCCTTTTGACTTTCCTAGCAATAGAATACATCAGACCTTATATGTATATATGTACAGAGGTACCGTTAAGACTCCGGCAGCTTTCACATATCTGTTTACCTACCACGACTATGACTTTCTTGGAAGACCGTCTAGATAGACCTTTGAGCGCATTACTAGCACAGAGGTTAGAGCTGATTTGCGCGATTACTACCTAGGATCAGATGAGAATTTGTATTCAAAATACTTAGCTGAGATAAAAAGTTGGAACGCTGGGGATGAATAGGACTGGTCTTCAGTAGTTGGTTTTGAGGAAGACTGCTTTGGAACTTGTATATTTTTATGGATTGTAAATATTATGGTTATGTAATGTTGTTTTAGTCTCATTCATTTTAACAAATAGTTTGTAATATTTAATGTTAATGTACGTAATTTATATTCAGGTTTTCCAAAAAGAAGAATATTCAGTGCAATTGTAATAATCATTTATTAGTCACAGTATTTATTATTATGTTATATTAGTATTGACGGTTTTAAAATTTCCATTTACATATAGAATTTAAAGATAATTTCAGTAATATGCTATAATCAATTCATTGAATTCATCAAATGATAATTATTTTAAATGATTAAGAATAATTTATACATTATACGGATTTTGAGATAAGGATATTACAATTTGGTATCAAAGCAGTTCATCCAAACCAGCCTGGGGGTATAGGACTAGTTCATCGAGATTATGTGTTATGTGTTATTAATTAGAAATTGTTTGTCAATACAACCTAGTAGTTGTGAATTTTTGGTTTGAGTGAGATGTTTGAAATGTTTTTATGTTTTGAACTTGATATGAAATGTGTTGGAATGAACAGTGATATGTGATATTTGATTCTTATAGAAATAGAATTATGGCTGGTAGAGGTAGGCCTGCTAGTGCTACTAATGAGATTTTGGCCCGCATGGTGCAAGTCCTAGAGAACTTGGTGCAAAATACGGAGCCAGCAGAGTATCGTGGAATCTCTTCGTTCATAAAGCATAAGCCTCCAAAGTTCGAAGGAAAATTTGGTCTAGAAGGTGTGCAGAGATGGATAGCAGATATAAAGAAGATGTTCAATACGGTGGGATGTCACGAGGAGTACAAGGTGGTTAATGCCACCTATATGCTGGGAGGTGAAGCAGAGGATTGGTGGAGGTTCGCCAGTCAAACTCTGCCACAAGAAGAAGGGTACATCAATTGGGAAGCTTTTAAGGCATGTTTCTTAGGGAATTACTTCCCTAGAGATTTGAAGAAACAAAAGGTACAGGAATTCCTTGAGCTGAAGCAAGGAAATATGTCTATGGGAGAATATGTTGCAAAATTCCATAAGCTCATGAAGTATTGGCCTCATTTCCAGTACGAGGATGGAGATGAAGATTTATGTGCCCAGTTTGAGAATGGGTTGAGGCCAGAGATTCGGGCAACAGTTAGTGTCTTCCAATTGACTGACCTAGCAACATTGGTCAACAAATGCTGAATCTTTGAGGCAAATTCCAAAGGCAAGACTGTAGATAGCTGGATTGGAGGACTAGTGAGACAGGATTGTAGACCTCCAAGGTTCCCTAGAGGACCTTACTCTGGTGGTAATCAATCTCAGCGCAAGGGAATGCGTTTCGAGGAGGTAGCAGCAGTGATTCCAACTTCTCAAGGGGACCACTGAGGTGTTTCAGATGTGGAGGACCCCATTTGGTGAGAAATTGCTCATAACCACCATCTGTTTGTGGAATTTGTGGAAAAATGGGACATTCGGCGAATAATTGTTGGTCAGCTCAACAAAATAGGAGTGCCAGTAGAAGTAACTAGCCCGCATCCAAAGCAAGTAGTGGCGCGAAGCTGAGTGTACAAGGCAAGGTTTTTGCTATGAGTGGGTCTGAGGCGTCCAAATCTGATGAATTGATTAGAGGTAAATGCGTCATTAATAATAGATTATGCGATGTTCTATTTGATTCTGGTGTCACACATTCCTTTGTTTCTATGGATTGTGTGAATTGTCTTGGACTGCCAATATCTTCCCTGCCATGTAATGTTGTTGTGCCTACTCCTACAACTAAGCTTGTTGTGAATTCTTCTGTGTGCTTAGGTTGTTCTGTGATGATTCATTGTAGAAATTTTTGCATGGACTTAATCTGTTTACCGCTTTCTCAACTTGACGTTGTTTTTGGCATGAAATGGTTGTCATCCAATCGTGTTTTGTTAGATTATAAGAAGAAAGCTTTAATCTTTGGTGATGATATACCGAAAAAATCTAGACTCCTAAATATGGGTGAAGCCAGAAATGTGAGTAAAGCTAAGGCTTTTATGGTATTGCTTTCTGCTGAGGTTGATAAGGCCGTGAAAGCTGAACATATTCCAGTAGTGCAAGATTTTCTAGAAGTTTTTCCAAAAGATGTAACAGAACTACCACCAGAAAGAGAAATTGAATTCACTATTGATTTGATTCTGGGAGCAAGCCCAGTATTTATCGCACCATATTGGATGTCACCAATGGAATTAACCGAGGTGAAAAAGTAAGTGAAAGATTTGTTGCAAAGGCAATTTGTTAGGCCAAGTGTGTCACCATGGGGAGCTCCAGTACTGCTGGTGAAAAAGAAGGATGGGAGCATGAGAATGTGCGTTGATTATCGTCAGTTGAATAAGGTGACGATTAGGAATAAGTATCCTATTCCTCAGATTGATGATTTGATGGATCAACTACGAGGAGCTTCAGTGTTTTCAAAGATTGATTTGCGATCAGGTTATCATCATATTCGAGTAAAGAAGGAAGATATCCCCAAGACAATCTTTAGGACTTGTTATGGTCATTACGAATATTTGGTGATGTCATTTGGTGTGACAAATGCCCCAGCAATGTTCATGGACTATATGAACCGGATTTTTCATGAATTCTTGGATTGATTTGTGGTAGTGTTTATTGACAATATTCTGATATATTCCAAGAATCATGAGGAGCATGCTAAACATTTAAGAATTGTATTGCGAATACTGAGTAAAAGACAGATTTATGCCAAAATGTGAATTCTGGCTTCCACAAATCCAATTTTTGGGACATGTTGTCTCAAAGTAAGGAATTATAGTCGACCCAGCAAAAGTAAAAGCAGTAGCTTAATGACCGAGACCTACAACTTCGACGGAGATCAGAAGTTTCTTTAGATTGGCTAGCTATCATAAAAAATTCATTGAGAAATTTTCTAAACTAGTGTTACCTTTAACTAACGAGGAAAGGAAAAGACTTCGAGTGGAATGAAGAATGTGAAGTTAGTTTTCAAAACTTAAAGGAAATGTTGACCTCGGCTTTAGTGTTGATTTTGCCGGACCCGGAGCAAAAGTTTAAAGTATATTGTGATGCTTCATGATAAGGACTTGGTTGTGTCCTAATGCAATCTAGAAGAGTAGTTACATATGTTTCAAGACAACTTTGACCTCACGAAGTCAGCTATCCCACACACGATCTGGAGTTAGCGGCAGTGGTATTTGCATTGAAAATCTGGAGGCATATCTGTTTGGATCGAGATTTGAAGTATTCAGCGATCATAAGAGTTTAAAATATCTATTCAACCAAAATGAGCTGAATATGAAGCAAAGACGGTGGATGGAGTTTCTCAAAGATTATGACTTCACCTTATCTTAGCCTAAAGAAGATAATAATGTTGAATAATGAGAGCATATCTTTCATACTAGATGTCACATAAATGACAAGGTACATAGCATGATCATTAATAATGGAAGTTATACTAATGTTGCTAGCACCTTGTTGGTTGAGAAACTAAAGTTGCCAACCATAAAGCATCCTAATCCATACTGACTTTAATGATTGAATGATTGTGGAGACATAAGGGTAACTAAACAAGCGTTGATATCATTTTCCATTGAGAAATACAAGGATGAAGTTCTTTGTGATGTTGCGCCTATGCATGCTAGACATTTGCTTCTTAGGCATCCATGGCAATTTTATAGAAGGATAACTCACAAGGAATACAAAAATAGATATATTTTGTCATAAGCAATCGCACCATTATCTTAACACCTCTTAAACCTATGAAAGCATATTCAAAATAAATGAGAATTGCTAGTGTGTAAGTTAAGAGAAGAATAATTGAGCATTCAAGAAAAAGAGAGAAAAGAAAAGTGACAATAAGCAAAAGAAAGAAAAGGATGAAAATGCGTGTACTAAAGAGAAAGATAAAAAAAAAAGTGTTTTTGCAAAGAAAATAGAAGTTGAGTGCTTTGATAGCAAAAGAATAACTACTTGTACTTATGTAAAAGGATGTTTGCTTTATTAACAATTTGAATTCCTTTTTGCCTAGTTTTGTTGTTTCATTGTTGCAGGAATTTGGTGAGATATTTCCAAAGGAAGTACCACATGAGTTCCCTCTTTCTAGAGATATTGAACATCAAATTGACTTCATTGCTGAATCTTTAGTTGTAAATAGGTCAGCCTATAGGACAAGTCTGAAAGAAGCAAAAGAGATCCAAAAGCAAGTGAATGAATTGTAACAAAAAATTATAAGGGATAGTCTTAGTCTACGTGTTGTTCATGTGATCTTGATTCTAAAAAAAGATTGGACATGACGTATTTGTGTAGATTATCAAGCCATAAATAAAATCACTGTAAAGTATAGATATCTTGATGAATTGCATGGTTCATGTGTGTTTTCTAAAATTAATTTGAAGAGTGGGTACCATCAAATTCACATGATAGAATGTGATGAGTCAAAAATTGCTTTAAAAAAAATATGATTTATATAAGTTGTAAGTGATGTCATTTGGCTTAAATAATGCACCTAGCACTTTCATGAGATTAATAAATCATGTTTTGAAACCTTTCATTGAAAAATTTGTTATAATCTACTTTAATGATATCTTAATTTATAGTAAATCAATAGATAAAAATGTTGAACATTTATACGTTGTTTTTAATGTTTTGAGAGAAAATAAATTGTACGCTAATCTTCAAAAGTGTATATTCTATCTTGAATATGTTGGATTTTTGGATTTTGTTGTAAGCTCAAAAAGGGGTAAGTGTTGACGAGGAAAAGGTAAAGGCAATTAGAGTTTGGTCTACACCATAGAATTCAAATGAGATAAGAAGTTTTCATGGTTTAGCAAGCTTTTATATTTGTAAGGAAATTTAGTTCTATTGCTACACCTTTGAATGAACTTATTAAGAAGAATCTTGTGTTCAAGTAGAAAGATGTGCATGAGAAGACTTTTAATTCTTTGAAAGACAAATTAACCAATGCACCTTTGCTTTATTTTCCTAATTTTGATAAAGCTTTTGAAGTTGAATGTGATGTTTTTGAAGTAGGAATAGGGGCAATATTAATGTAGGAACATAAACTGATTGTATAATTTTGTGAGAAGCTTAGCGGGATTGATGAGGACCTCACATACAAAGAGACCATAAAGTATTATGAGGATGCTTTGGAAGAATTTTAAGGGCCCATGACTAGATCAAGGGCTAAGAAGGCCCTCAACAAGCTTATTGAGCTTGTGAGGCACTTAGAGGAACCACACCTTTTGGAGGATCACATGAAGAACTATGCATACTTCACATGCACAATAATAAATACATAGGCCTCATGTGTACATCTTGATTATGTCACATCTTTTTTTTGTATAAATACCATGTATTAGTTTAAGATTTCTTCTTCATATTTAATTAGTTAGCCTTATATTTTTGGGCTTAGTTTCTTAAGATCTTTAAGGCCATGTATTTTTGCCACCTTTAGTTAAATAGCTTAAGAATTAGATTTGGCTTTAGGAAAGCCCATTAGCATAATCACCCTATGCAAACTTATATAAAGGCTACTCTCTTTATAATTCACACACCTTTGTGATATGCAAAAATCTCTTTTGAGTTTGAGATTCATTCTCCTTTTTTCCTCAATTGTCTAAGAAGAACTTTGAGCTTGAAGTTTGTATCAATGGATCCTTCCATTGTGAAGAATCACGTCTAGGCTTATCTCCATAGAGTGATGCCTTCCCTTTTTCATTTCCTTTCTACTCCATCATTGTGCATCTTTCTTTTCCTTTGTTCTTCATTCAATTGTCTCGGAATTGTTGTAAAGTGCTCCTTGGTCGAGAGCTTCTTCTTACAAGGAAGCATCAAGAAGCAAGTTTACTGAAGGATAGATTTGCCTCCTACATCAGGGGTAGCATTGAATTATTCCACCTATGACAAGGAGTTGTATGCATTGTGAGGACTTTGCAAAACTGGCAACATTATTTGTGGCCAAGGGAGTTCATCGTTCATTCAGACCATCAAAGTTTGAAATTTAGTTGTAAGATAAGCTTAAAAAAAGACATGCAAGTGGTTGAAATTCATTGAGATGTTTCCTTATGTGATCAAGTTCAAGCATGGAAAGCAAAATATTTTGGTTGATGCTTTATCTCAAAGGTAAGCATTACTTACTTCTTTACAAACTAAATTGTTTGGTTTTGAGCTTATCAAGGATTTGTATACCAATTATTTTGATTTTGGTCAAGTATGAAATTCTTGTACTAAGCATGCTTTTGGGGACTATTACAAGCATGATGCGTTCTTGTTTAAAAAAGATAAATTATGTTTGCCTATTTATTTCTTGCATGAGTTGTTAGTTAGAGAAACACATGGTGAGGGTTTAATGGGACATTTTGGAGTGCAAAAGATTTTATAAATTTTGAATGAACATTTTTATAGGCCTAACATGAATCATGATGTGCAATCTGTTAGTGAAAAGTGCATAACATGTAAGCAAGCCAAATCTAAAGTCTTGCCCATGGTTTCTATACACCATTACTTGTACCGAATCAACCTTGGACTGATATTTATATGACTTGTTCTTTAAAGATATTGTATGTTTGCATGGATTGCCGAGGAGAATAGGAAGTGATAGAGATGTAAAGTTCCTAACTCATTTTTGGAAAACTTTGTGGAGTAGCTAGGAACTAAGCTTTTGTTACACATCCAGAAACAAATAGTCAAACTAAAGTTGTGAATAGAACACTCACTACCTTGTTATGTGCAATCATTCAAAAGAATTTAAAACAATAGAAGAAATGTTTGCACATGTTGAGTTTGCATATAATAGAACTGTTCATTCTACTACTTCTTATTCTCCTTTTGAAGTTGTGAATGGCTTTAATCCTTTGACTCCTTTGGATATCTTTCCTTTGCCTAATAATGAGTTTGTTAATGTAGATGATAAGCATAAGATAGACTTTATTAGGAGGTTACATGAAAGAGTTTGAGCCAACATTGAGAAAAAGAATGAGCAATATGCAAACCAAGCAAATAAGGGGCGCATTAAGGTGGCTTTTGAACTTTAAGATTGGGTTTGGATTCATATTCAAAAAAAAAGATTTCCTACTCAAAGAAAATGCAAACCACAACCAAGAGGAAATGTACTATTTCAAGTGTTAAAAAGGATCAATGACAATGCCAACAAATTAGATTTGCTAAGTAAATATGGTAATGTAAGTGCTACCTTTAATATGTCTAATTTATCTTTGTTTGATGTAGGTGATGAGTTTAACTCAAGAACAAATCCTTTCAAAGAGGGATGGAATAATAGAGATCCAACAAGCATGCCAAAAGACTCTTCACAAGAAATTGGAGGTCTAATAACTAGAGTCAAGACTAAGAGGATGAAGCAAGCTTTGCAAAGCCTAATCATGGAAATCAAAGAAAAATAGAAGTTGCATTTAAATGGGTCACATTCTTACAACTTCATGGTGACACTTTAAGCCCAACTTGGAAAGAGAGTCCAATTTTCATAATAGAAAAAGCTTTCATAAGATAGAGTTTAATTAGTTTTTGAGTTTGATTAGTTAATAAAAGTTCAATTTTTCCTTTTTATTCAATTTTCATATTTATTTTTTGAGGTGAATTTTTTAACTGACTTTTTGTATTTCTAAGTCAGATTTTTAGTTGTCTTTAAATCTTCCAAGACATTAATTTCGACAGTAGATTTTCAATGAATTACTTCATTTTCAGTGAAGTGCATTTAAAATTCATTTTATTCTCAGTAGAAAGCATTTAAAATTCACTTAGTTTTTTTTAGATGACTTAGCCTATAAATTTGTAATGTATTTTAAAAAAAGGTGAAATTTGAATAGAAATATGACTTTTCTTTGTTGTGAGAGCTTCTTTTTTATTTTTAGGAACTAAATCTTATAGTATTGTTTCTACCCATATATCGTAGTTAAAGTCACACTTCTTTAATAACTTTGATTTTATTGGCGGGTCACAATTAGAGTTAAGTTTCTTTTTTTTTTTTTCTATCTTCTCTGTTTTCAAGACGTCCATATAAGAGTTTTTTTTTTTTTTTCATATTAAGGGTATTTTTAGAGAAAATAATGATTATTGGATATTAAGATTTTACTTTAGAATTGGAACTTGCTTTGCAATTAATGCTGAACTTTGAGAAATTTGGCAAGGTCTAAAACTAACTTGGAGGAAAGAACATGGTAAATTTGTGGTTGATAGTGACTTAAAGTTTTGCTATTTTCTCATCATTAACTAGGACTCAATTGATAATCAAAATAGTAAAAATCCACTAATTAGCAATATTTCAGTATAGAAAAAAAAGATTAATACATTATATTTTACCATATATAATAAGATTACCTTGCTATAACAAGATTGTAGAAACGAAATTTAATTTGCATGAAATCTCTATGTCAGATAACCATTTGACAAAACTGAAATCTCCTTTATGTTCAGACATAGTCCCTTCTATAAAAAAATTTAAAATAATACTATTTTAAAATAAAATTTTTCTTGTATTTCATTTTTTATGAACTTTGCTAGAAAATTATTGTGTAAAACTTCTAAATAACTGCTAAACACATCTTTACTACAAATTATTCATGATCAACTATTTAATTTTATGTTTTCTTCTTTATATATATATATATATATATACACATATTAATTTATAATTTTTAATTAAATTTCATATATTTATAATTTTTATTGATAATCAATTTTTATTATGAAGTCATGTTTACGTCAAACACTAAACATTTATGGTAATAATTTTAAAAAATGAAGTTAAAGAAAAACTTGAACATTAAAAATAATTTAAAAGACTAAATTACATTGAAAAAAGTAAAAATTAAAATAAAACAAATTAAATATGAAAATAAAATTAAGAAATTAAGTTAAAATTTTAATAAAATTTAAAGAATAAAAAGTATTATTTAACCTGTGTAAAATAAATATTATTATAGATAAAAAGTTTTATAAAATAATTTTAAGATGAATATATTTTAAAAAATATATAAATATATTTTTATTATTTTTTAAATGATTTTATTTTGTTTTAATCTCTATATTTTAGTAAGTTTTTATTTGTAATCTGTAAGGTTGATACAGTGCATTAATATACTGTCATTTGTTAATTTTTTATTTAATTATATAGTACTAGAGATTAAAAGAAAAAATTATAAAATATAAAAATAAAAAAAATAACTAAAAAAAAAATTCAAATCTTGAAAAATTATGTAATGTGAATGCAGCAAACTTTCCTCGTTTAAAATGGCAGAAGGAAAAGAGAGGGGAATCAATTGGCTAAGGAACAGATTTTGAGAGTATAATGGAGAGGGAGGCAGAGATGGAGATGAGAAGCAGCGAAGAAATAGAGATTGGGACAGACATAACTCCAACACTCACTCCTCTTTCTTTCTCTCTCCACACTTCCCGTCTTCAAACTCACTGCTCCACTTGCTTCTCTCCCCTTCCCATTCCCATTCCCTCCAAAACCAATCCCAATTCCCTTTTCTACTGTTCCCCTCCCTGCTCCGCCGCACTTTCATCCCTCCACCTCTCCTCCGCCGAGCGCCACCTCCCTCCCTCCGCCCACTCCTCCGACCACCGCGCCGCCCTCCGCCTCCTCCACTCCCACCGCCCCTCCCCCTCGGGTCGGGTCGCCGGGTTGCTATCTAACAGCAACTTGCTGACGTGTCAAAAAAATCCCTCCTACTCTGACGACGACGTTTCAGAGAGGATCAAGTTTGGCGCCAGCGCCGTGGCCGAAGCGCTAGCGAAGCAGCGCGGCATCCCATTCAACGACGCCGTTTTGGAGGAAGCAACGGTTGCTCTCTGCGCGGTGCTAACGAACGCTGTGGAGGTGCACGATAGCGAAGGGCGCAACCTTGGGATCGCAGTTTATGATCTCACTTTCTCTTGGATTAACCATAGTTGTTCCCCTAACGCGTGCTACCGCTTCGATCTCACTTCTTCGTATTCACCTTCGGATAAACTCAAACTTCGCATTGCTCCCTTCACTCGCCATTCTCAACAACCACAAGTAAAGTACCCTTTTTTTCTTCTACGTTATTGGATTTTTTTTATTTTTTTTGGCTATATTTTGCTTCTGTTCTTTGTTAAGATGTGAATTGTGTTTTGCAGATGGATAGTGGAGTTTGTAGTAGCAGTTCTGAATTTGTAAAAGGTTAATTAATTGTTCTGTATTCTAATATGCTTAGTTTTTTAAAATAGAAAATAAAATATTAATTAGGGTCATTTTTATTTTTTGCCATGAAAAAGAAGGGGAGTTAGGTTATGGTCCAAGATTGATTGTGAGGAGTATCAAAAGAATAAAAAAGGGCGAAGAAGTTACTGTAGCATATACGGATCTCTTGCAACCTAAGGTATGCTCCAAATTAGTATTATCTTTCATGCTATGGTCTGTTTGTTTTTAAGTCTGGGCTTGGTTATGCGTTTTTCACTCCCGAATGTGCATCTGTACTGTTGTGGTCGAACGTGCCTTCAACTGTTGAAATATAAACATTTGAAGTTGGCCTGTGTGTTGGATTTGGACACTCCTACTGGATTGATGGAACAGTCAATTTTGTTGTATGACAGTGTAAATGATCATGTCGTCAATGGGTTGTAAACTTGTAGTTGTAGCAATGACAGTCCAAAATGAAGCTGTCGTTTTTCCTGTGTCACTTTTGCTAGCGTGGCAATTGGCTTTCATAACTAAACACAAGTATGAATTGAATCATGTATTTAGCGATGATAGTTCTCTGCTATATTTAAGAAGTTAAAGTGGGTCAACTGGTGAAGGGTGGAGATTTGCTTGTTGCCATCTCTGTCCATATGGATGAAAGCTTTCCTCAATTGTTGACATCAATAATTGTTTTTGATATTTTCTTGCCTAGTGCCGAGAAACCACCACATATCTTTTTTCAGTGAATACTTAGTTGTATTTATCTCTAATAATTGTATGATATCACCTTGGAAAGAAAATTCCTTGAAATGCTATAATTACCTTGAATATAAATTTCTCTCCCTGGGTAGCATATGTCATCTATTTCATGACTTGTATGAGTTCTATCTGTCATATATGGTTTCATTATAAATGTAATCATAAATTAGTTGAAATTGCAATTTACTTTTTCTTGTGAAACTTTTCAGTCTTGATCTTTTGATTTTTGTTTTCATCCTCCTTTTCTCAGTTCTTTAGTCTTTACTGAGTTCATTCACTTCTTTATTGATCAGTTATTGAGCTTCTAGCTGCAGTGGTCTTAATTTGTATTTTGATTTTCTAGGCAATGAGACAGTTGGAGCTGTGGTCAAAGTATCAGTTTATTTGTTGTTGCAAACGATGTAGTGTTCTTCCCTTCACATATGTGGATCATGCATTGCAAGTAAGTCTTTGAAATTGATCTCCTATTTCTACTGTGGTTTAGTCAGTCTTTCTCAAACATTTTGTGGAAGTGACAAAACTGAGTTTCTTTGCCTTGGATGTGCTAATAATATGATGTGATCTAATAATTATTCCTATTGTGAAACACTGGGAAATGGAATATTTGACTGATATTATTATTAGACTGCTCTAACATCTTGGTAAATTTATTATTCAGGAAATTTCTGTTTCCACTCATGATTCATCTGGTTCATGTTCCGATTATAAGTTCACAAGAGACATGGCTGATAGAAGATTGACTGAGTGCATTGATGATGTTGTATCGGAGTACCTTTCTTCTGGTGATTCCGAGTCCTGTTGTAAGAAGCTTGAGAAGATACTTATGCAAGGTTTAAATGAGCAGTTAGAAGGCATTGAAGGAAAATCAGATTCTAAATTCATGCTGCATCCCCTGCATCACCTCTCTCTAAGAGTGTACACAACACTGGCATCAGCGTATAACGTTCGTGCTAGTGATTTATTGTCTGTAGATTCTCAAATAGATATACATCAGTTTGAAGCTTTTGAAATGAGCAGGACCGGCGCAGCATATTCTTTGTTACTTGCAGGTGCGACTCATCATCTTTTCAATTCTGACTCCTCATTGATTGCATCTGTTGCAAACTTTTGGACAGGAGCCGGTGAATCTTTGTTATCTCTGACCAGAAGTTCTGGATGGAGAAAGTTTGTTAATTTGGGTCCGGTTGTTTCAAACTTTGCTTCTGTCACAAAAGTCAAATGCTCTAAGTGTTCATTAATGGATAGATTTAGAGCCTGTATGCCAAATGGTCACATTAAAAGTACAGATTTTGACAATGTATCAAATGAGTTTCTTCATTGTGTCAGAGCTATTACACTGAATGTTTGGAGTTTCCTTGTCTGTAAGTGCCATTTTTTGAGATCATGTATCAATTTCAGCTGGCTAATGTCTCCCAAAGATCCCAGTACCGTTGATGTTGAGGCGTATGTTAACAAAACTGATATGTGTTACACCCATGAATCTGAAAATAACTTCTGTATTTGTGTAGAGCAAACTTACACTGATCATGCAGTAGCATGCATTTTTCAGCTTGGTGTACACTGCTTAGCCTATGGAGGGTTGTTGGCTAGTATTTGTTATGGTCCCCATTCCCATTTGGCTTGTCATGTCCAAAATATTCTAGATCGTGAAAATAGTTTTGGACTATATTCTCATGAAGAATCTTGAGAGAGAGCATGCATGGCACCTTGTGAAAAATCAATGTGTGAGAATGCATCATGATTTTTTTTATGCTTGATACCTGATGATGGTTAAAGTATTAAGATTCAAGAAGTTGACACGAATTTTTATTGGTAGGGGGTTTTTTTGGGTGCCCAGAAGATGATAAAGTTTTGGAAATGCTTCGGAGAAGTGTTTAGATGTACCGCCCATTAGTGTCATCATAGTGAGCAAAATGGAGGACATTACCTTGTATAACCAATTTTTTTTATACGAGAGGACAAAAAATTGTTAGACGTCGATCACCAGACTTCTAATAGTACTATTTTTTTTAAATGTGCTTGCATGAATTCAAAGTTGAATCAAGAATATTTTTTTAAATTTCTCTTCCTCTTTCTATTTAATTTTTTTAATATAAAATCAAACTCAGTCCACACCCTTCTCTTCTGAAATTTTAACTTTTTTTATTTTACAAAATTCGAAACTCTTCTTTCCAAAGCTACGAACTCTTATTTTTCTTTGTAAAGAGTTCGTGTCTCATGGCTCCTTGGTCTTCCTCACCCTCACATATATATGCTCAAAAATTGCTAATGACAACATTTCAAGGGCTCAAGACAATGTTGATGGAGGTGTGTGTACTCTGTAAACAAAAAATTTATTAGTTTTTTAACAAATACATTTCACTAATAACAAGAATTTTGTGTTATATAATTTAGTTTCGTACGTTGACTGTATATTAGCTTTGCTACACGAGAACACGAAGCTGCATTCACATGAGAAATGAATGCAACGTGGAAACAAGAAAGTTGTTGGCTATATGAGCCCGCCCATACCTGCAAAGCGTGAATAAATTTATTATTGATATTGCAATTATTATATCTTTATTACTTTTTATATTTATATTTTATTATAATTTTTAAAATTTTTATTTATTTATTTTTATTCATACTTAAATACATATACATTTTAATAAGTTTTCATAAAATGTAAGATTGACAATTCTTATATATCATTTATATTTAAATATTTGTAAGTATATTATTTAAAAATTAATAGTTTTTTATAATCTAATTCATAAATTTTATACTCAGATTGGTCTTTTAATATTATAATTTTTTATTATAAATAATACAGTTACCTTGTCCTTAAATAATTGTCTCACTAGTTCTATTAGTTTATTCAAAAATAAATAAATTTAGTACCCTCGTTAACTTCGTATAACAACCTATTAATACTGTTAATATTATTTAGATTCATTGGATCCAATTTATTATTGAATAATGATTAAGTTGTCGTTGACATTGTGACTTTGATAAAGACTCTGATATAAATGGTTGTATTTAACTAATATCATTTACTTTTTTCTTGGACCCTTCATCACTCTTATTGTGTACACTTCCATTACAAAGTGTACTTATATGCAGGTTGTTTAAGTTTAGTGTGACTTATGTTTAATTTATATTTTAATCTTATTTAAGATATATTTAAATTTTTTTCAAAAAGATGACTTTTTTAAAGTTTTTTTAAATAAAAAAGCCAAGCAACTCTAAGAATAACTTTGACATGAATATTTTGTTCAACAACTCATAAATATTAAATTTTGTCAATCTAAGTATTAAATAAAAAATTCTCAAAATAGATTAAATATACAAAAATTCATACAAATAAAAATTTAATTAATAATTTATCAGAAATTTTGTTTTAAAATTTTATTTTTAAAATATAAATAAATATTAATTATAAAATTACATATTTATAATCTTTCATTTGTCTAAATTTTAATATACAACTGTGAAATTAATAAAATTTAATATTTATAAAAAATTATTAAATAACTCAACCAGATTTTTTTATGAAGTAACTTGTTCTTCGTTCAAATTCTGTATACATGTATGAATTAATTATCGATTGTTGACTTTAGCTTTGATAGCTACGGTTGCGTAAGAACACGAATCTGTCGAATATCTGATCAAAAGTTACAAATAGTTCAAACCCACCCGATTTATCCGTGTAAATACTCAAACTAAAATCTAGAGTTATCCGATAATTTGATGATCGAAATCGACTAAAAATTTAAAATAGTTGGTTTAAGCGAGAAAAGTTGGGCTCTAATTTTTCTTTTCATAGGAAAAAAAATTATTAAAATATAGTATTTTGAAAAACATTAAAAAATTACAAAAAATATAAAAATTGTTATTAGTAAATTTTTATTTTTTAACATTTTATAAAAACTTCAATTATAATTTTAATATTTTATATAAATTTTTTATTATTTTTTTTCTAAAGTTATGTACCTACACTACAAACTTCATATTTTATAATTTTTTTCTAATATATTTTATAAGTTTCTCAAGAACATCATATTTCATATATATTATTTCTAATTATAATATATAAAAAATAATTTAAAAATTTAATGCATAACAGAGTAACACATTTAATTAAAAGTAATATATTTTTTTATTATAATATCTAATTATAAATTATTATGTTATTAAAAATTAATATTTTAAAAATATTATTTACATTATTTTTATTAATTAAAAATTAATAATATAAGTTTTTTTATAATGATAGTGTATCAAATTTAAATTATTTGTTTATTCTTAAAACTATTAATATGAAAAAGTTTAAATTTTAAATTATAAGAGCATTAGTTTTGTTAATAAAATCATAAAAGAAAAAATTAAAGTTATTGACATATAATAATAAAATGTGAAAAAAAAACTATCTTTACAAATTAAATCAATCAAATGTCTTATAGATTAATTATTAGTATTAATTTAAATAAAGTGTCGTTTTATAAACGGAATTGAATCGATTACTCTGATCTTTGGTCTGAAAAACTCAATTGATGAAGTGAAAAATAAGTTAAAAATCGATTAAATAAGTTAAAATTGACTAAAATCGAGTGTAAACAAGTGTTGTTAAATCTGTCTAGGCTTTTTTTTAAAAGCGAACTTGATTATTTTGATTTCAAAAAATTAATTTAAAAATGAACAAAAAATTATAATATATATTATTAATTTTTTTATTATAAATTTGGCTGGTTATAAAATATATAATATATTTCTTTAAAGTTTTACTCATTGTAATTATTTATAATTTGTATTAATATATTATTTAATTATATATATATATATATATATATAACTTTTTCCAATCTCAATTTAATTACAATTGAATTAATAAATCCTGATTTAGTATTTTTAACAATTTAATTACCTATTCAATTTTAAAATTATTGGAGGAAAGCGATTGTACGTGAATAAGGAACCAGGAAATTCTGAACCTGTCAAATCAAATCGACGTTCACACTTGACTGTGATCCCTGGTTCCAATTTACACGTTATTCAGCTCTCCTGCTTATTCTATTATTTTGCATAAAAAAAGTTATCATGTTATTTAATAAATAAAAAAAATACATAACATTCAGCATTTGTGTGCCGTGAAATTTCATTTTAAAAGAAATAACATAATCAAAGTGTCAATAAATATAAGAAACTATTAAGGAATAAAAATAAAACAATTTAATAAAAAATAACTATTATGTTAAAATTCGTTCCGTAATTATTTTTGTAATAACTAAAAAGACGCCCACTTAACAATATACCTTATTCCTTTCTCTAAACATGCATAGAGAGTTTGATTAAATACTCCCTTTTAAAAATTAAGAGCATGTTTAATTTTTTAAATATTTTTTTATTTTTAAAAATAAAATATAGTATAAATTATTTAAGAATTTGGTAAAAAAAAATCTTATAAGAAGTTAGTGTATGCGAATTTGGTAAAAAAGTATTTTGGTATTTCAAACTTTAAATCACGTTAAAGATATTATTTGAAATTATTGTATGATATTTTATAGCTTATTATTAATCACCGTAATATTTTTAATTTTTATTTAATGATATATATTTTTACTTTTATATAGTTTTTTAATATATATATATATATATATATATATATATATATAATCATAGAATATGGTTTACACAGCTGATCACTAAATTATCGTATCATTTTATAAAAATATTACATTAGATGTCCGCGTATAATTTTAAAAAGGACACTTATTAAGCAATAAAATTAAAAGGTACTTAATAAAAATTATTAATTATATGAAAAATAAAACTATTAAAATATGTAGTTATAATTAATTTTTTAATTTATTTTATGATATATTTCATTGAGATATTTGATATTGCTTAAACCTCTTTGTAAATAAATTATTTAAATAGTTATATGTATAAAATAACTGCAAAACATATATCTCATATTAAATTATTAGATATTTATTTATTTTAAATTTAATTTATTTATTATAATATTATTAATATATTATGATTTATATAATAAAATTATTTTATATATTATTATAAAATTAATAAACTTTAAATATGTTAATATATTACGTTTAATAAATTTTCTTAAAAATAAAATTTAACTTATTACTTAAATAAATTGAATACGGAATAAGTCTCACATAATCTTACTTCCCTCCCTGTTACACGTATAAGCACCAAGTTATTGTATCATATGACATAAGGTATAATATTTGTGTGTAATTCTAAAAGACGCTGATGAAACAATAAAAATAAAAGGTGTTTAGTAAAAAATATAGATTATATTACAAACAAATATCAGTTAGGTCAATGATTTTTGAAGAAATTGAAGAATCCCCACTTCCAATAACTTGTTCTTTCTTATACCTGAAAGGATACGGATGTGGACCCCACTTCCATAATTGTGATCACTATCTTGAACAAAATTTTTAGTTATATATATTGTGAATTTTCTTTAGCAAGATCTGAAAGGAGACGACCTGTGTGCAGAGAGGGTGCTAGCATACGCCATGGTGATGGCTGTGTTGCTCAACTTTATGTTCCCACCATCTTCTCTAGCGGTTTCGGCCATTTCAGCAATAAGCATCGTGACAGTAGCAAACGCTGGCTTCTCCGAAATTAGAGGGAAGCATTTGAACTATTCAAAGTTTTGGAATGTGAATACCAGTGGACAGAGGGAAATCAAGTTGTCAAGTAAAGTGGGTATGCTTATGCTGTATACTCCTGCTTTTCTTGCTGGTTTTGCTTCCTTTTGGATCTTTCCTCATGAGGGTGTTAGATCCACCATCCTTCAATCTGCTGTCACCCTTCATTTCTTCAAGAGGATATTTGAGGTAACATTTTCTCTCTCAAAATTCTCACACTGATATCACCCACAAAAGATGCCCAATGGGCCTGTTGAAGGAAAAGTTTTGGAATTTGTATTAAATTTTAACTTTTTCTTTTGTATTAAATTTTCAGTTTAGGTTTTGTTGGGGTGATGGTTGGTTATAAAATTTAGTACCCTATGCCTAGGTTTTTTTTTTTAACATGTAGATTCTTGTTTGGATGAATTGGTTTTATCGTATAGATAGCAAAGAATATCGGCTCAATGTTTGACATGCAATTACGGGTTTTTGTTTTCTCAATGCTTCATTTTCTTTTTAATTGTATTTTATTTATTTTTGTTGCCGAGATTATGGTTTTTAATTTATTCTGTTCAGGGTTTATTCGCAAGTGTTTTGTTCTTGTTCTCTGTAATTGGTTTTCAGCTCAAGAATGTTGTTTTTACTCTAATTTGTAGGTTCTGTTTATTCACAAATTTAGTGGCGGCATGCTTCTTAATTCTGCAATCCCCATCACTTCGAGTTATTTCCTATCAGCTGCGACTATGGTATATTCTCAACACCTAACACAAGGGCTTCCAGAACCACAAATCAATCTACTATATCCTGGGATTGTGTTGTTTCTAGTGGGCATCATAGGCAACTTCTACCACCATTACCTTCTATCCAAATTGAGGGGAAATGGTGAAAAGGAGTACAAGATTCCAAAGGGTGGCTTTTTTGGGCTTGTGATATGCCCCCACTACCTTTTTGAGATTATTGTGTTTTATGGGATTTCCTTCATTTCTCAGACACTATATTCATACTCTTTTGCTATAGGCACTACTTTCTACTTGTTGGGTCGGAGTTATGCAACTAGGCAGTGGTATCTTTCTAAGTTTGAAGATTTCCCAAATAATGTCAAGGCTGTCATCCCATTTGTATTCTAAATGTTGTAAGTATAAAATAATTTAAGTTATTGTATTGGCAGATTTTGGCATTGGGAGTTTTGAATTTGGGGTTTTTGAATTTTTCTCATTTTAGTAACAAGTGTATTAAGTGCCGAATCCTTGTGCTGCCATGTTCCATGTAATTACAGATTAAGCCCACTTGTTATGCTAATTTGTTTTTACTTTTAATTACATAATTAATTTTTTATTTTTAAAGTTTTGTAATAGTGAAAATAAAATAGAAGTTATTTTAACATACAAATCTTTAAAAATAAGAAACAGAATGAAAATAAAATAAAAAATATTTTTGAAAAGCCAAGAGTCTCTCAGGACTATTTTCGTAATTTTCTTAGATGAAGAAGGATAGTGCGAGATTGAGAGAGTGGTCAGAAAAAACCCTATTTTATTTCCTTCCATTTGGTGCGTTGCACAAGGAAGCATGTAGTTTCCGTCACTGAAAACGTCCCAAAGATTTTGTCTATCACAATTACGACTTGATGGAAAATAAAATGGTAGTTTACCTTTCTTTTTTAAATATTTTCTGCAGATGAAAAATGTTCCTTTAAAATAATGATTTAATTTTATAATGTTAAAATTATCTAAATTTAAAATTAAATTTTTTTAATATAAAATACAATTATCTAATCAATAGTAGTTCGAGTGACGAGTGACTTTGTATATTTTAAACAAAGTTTTGAGTTCGAGTGTTTTAATTATGCTTGCGTGAATTATAATAAAAATAAGTATTATTTTTTTAAAAATTTAAAATATAAGTTTTTTTAAATTTTTATGAAAAATCTTAAAATGAAAAAAATAAAAAATAAATTTTTGCATTGGAATCTTTTTTTAATTTCATTTACTTTTACGCATTTCATCCCTTACCTTAATTCATACATTTTTGCTAGGCTTGTGCCTTGGGAGAAGGGACTGGTAATGGGCCCAACCTTTCCAGTAAAACAAAAGAACAGATACATTTTATAATTGTATTAATGGTGGCATTGTCGTCTCTCCCTCTTCCACACCTTTGGCTCTTTAGGTCTTTTGACTAGTGAACCTTATCTATTCATCTATATTTATATCAATTAACCTATCTATTTATACTTTTTTATTTTAAAATTATTTTTAATCTAATTTTAGTTTTTACTATTATTTTATCTACTTCTTTACACATTTTTAATTACAAAATATATTATTTAATTATTATACATAAAATGATTTTAATATTACTATATAATTATGTTATCAAAAGTAATAAGATAATATTATAAAATATTTACTTATAATATGATTCTTTAGTTTTTTTTATAGAATTCGATATAATTTATTAATTCAATAATAAAACAATACTTATCATAGTAATTATTTTGTTATAATTTTTTATTATAAAACATTAAATATATTTTTATAAATTTACCGATCGGTTATTATTTTATAATCATATTTTTATGAATTTATAACAAGTAATATAACTCTAAATTTGGAACAATTTTTATTTAATATACATATATCACGATCAAAAAGTTATATTTGTTAAAAGTTATTAATAATTAATATATATGTATATATTACTATAATCATAATGAAAAATAAAATAACAAATAATATACGTAAAATACGTATTTGTTGTAACGAAGGTAAATTATATTAATATGTTATTGTTAATATTAATTTCTTTTATTAAAAATTCAAAAAAATATCTTAACATTTTAAATCTCTTTATTTTATTTTTAAAAATTTAATAAGACTTTCTATTATATTAATATTTTGCTATTCATAAAACTTTTATAAATAATAATACAAACACAAAAGTTTATTATTTTAAATTAAGTTCTTCACCTTAAAATTTATTTAATAATTAATAAATATATAATAGAAGTATAACATTTGATTGATTCATACAAATAAAAAAATATAAAAAATTAAATAAAGTTATAAAATGAAATGTATAAAGTATAACAAAAGTCTTAATTTTGAGGTGAATAATTTAATTTGAGCAATTAAAATTAAAAAAAATAAAAGTTTATATACATTAAAATATAAGAATCTAAATTGCAATTGAACCGATAAAAAAGTAAAAAAATTAGTAATTTCATCCTGCACTTTTAAAATAAGTTTTAATATCTTTTTGACTTTTTTTTATTTATTTTAGTTATTTAACTTTAAAAAATATTTTAAATAAGTTATTTATTGTTAAAAATATTAAATTCGTTAATTTTTTTTATTTTTTCTATCATATATATTATTCATTTTCTTCTTTTACAACTTCGATTCTTTATTTTCCACCTCTTCCTCTTTCCTTTCCTCTTCTTCCTTCTTTTTATATTCTTTTTTTCTTTTTTCTCTTCATTTCTTTTATCTTTTATCTTTTATCTTTTCATCCTCCACTATATGAAATTTTGAAAAATAAATAGTGATGCGTAGCCAAATATTCCAAATGCAAAAGTAAGAATCTATAGAATCTTTGGATGAAGCATTTGAAACAATAATCTACGCAAGTTTGATTATGCACCATTGTCTTTATTTTGTTTTTTCCTAAAAAATTTCACATAGTAAAGAGTCAAAAAAAAGAAAGAAAGAAAGAAAGAAAAAAATGCAACAAAGAAGAAGAGATAAGAGTTAGAGTTGCATACTTAAGGAAGAAAATGAACAATATAAATGATACAAAAAGATATTTCTTTTAACAAAGTTAATATTTTAATGACAAAATACTTATTTAAAGCATTTTAAAAGTTAAAGGACCAAATGAATAAAAATAACTGGTGGACAAATTTGAAACTTATATTAAAGGTGGAGATGAAAACTAGGGTTGGACAATTGTTTTAGGTCCGACTGAACCTAAAGGAATAAAAATAAAAATAAGATGGAAAAATGAGTTAGGCAAATAAGAATTTAAATTTATAGGGTTTTTCTGAATTTGTACAATGAGGTGCAAGTTAGCCAAATTCAACCCAATGGTAACTAACGTGATTGAAAACACATATAAGGAAGTGTTTTTAGAATTCCTAATCCCTTCCTATCCTACCTAATCTCTAGTCTCACTGTCCCCTTTCTCTAAGTTTTCTATTTGGCTTGAGACTTCTGCATTATGTTGCTATGCTCTTTTTGCAATGTGTCACTTGTTACTTTCTTAGTACCTCTTTCTCTTTCTCTTTGTCTCTCTCTCATGCCAAAATTCCGAATAAATTAGGTGTTTTTTTTGTCTTAGTCTTACATTTTAGCTTTGTGCTGGTGCTTTCTTTTGCTTTACCTTCGTTTCTTTCTCTTTTCACATTACAACGCTTTGACTTTATCAATTTGTTTTTATTTCCTCTCTTATGTTTTAATATTTCAATCTCAAATTCTCAATGTTTAACTATTTAAACCTAACCCTAATAGTAATATAGACTTTATACATGCCAATACTCGTATCTTCTTGGTTTCATATCAACTGAAGAATTAGTAATTAGTAAGATTTTTGTTTCATATTTGTTATTTAGTTTAGGATTTTTACTCTTTTTTTTTTTTAAAGGCAACCATAGAACTATATAAATGTAATATCAAATTTGGCTATTATTGTTTTAGGCCTTAATGTTGAAAAAATTAGTAATTTTTATATAATATACTACCTTTATTTTGTTTCATGGAACACCTCTCAAACTCAAAGTTGTTGTTGAGGTAATATTGAAAGGAAAAATTATGAAAACTATAAGAAGGTGGAGAAGTGGTTCCATGGTATTAAACTGAGATTTGTGTTGCACTTTTTTATTCATTAACTACTTTCTTTTTGAGATTTGTATTATCTTCTCTAAGATAATACCTTTCTTTCCTTCTTCTTCCTCATTTTTGGTTAATGGTGCTTAACTAAGATGCTTTTGTGTTTTTTTTTTATTAATTTAATGATGCTTAAATGTTAGGATTTATGTTGTTCAAATTAAGATACTACATTTATATTATTTTTCTCTCCAATTTGTATTCAATGTTGCTGAACTGAGATGTTTTTATTATGTTTTTTTATTCAATGATGCTAAATTGAAATGTTTTTCTTTTCTCTAGTTTTTAATGAATAATGTTGAACTAAAATATATGTTTGCTAAGAATTTTGATTCAATGATGCTGAAATATATGTTCGAATTTAAATACTGCATTTCTTTTCTTTTTCTCTCCAAATTTTTAGTTAACGATGCTTTGAACCAAGACCTTTATCTACTATAATAATTCAAACCTACTTCCTTTCCTCTTTTCATTCATATAAAATTATTTTGACTATAAACTCAAAAAAAGATGAGATATGTTGTATTTTTATGTATACATAAAGTAGGATTGTTCTTCAACAAACTAATTTTTTATTTATGTTAGGTGAATGAATTTGCTAGTGGTGACTACTGAGTGTTAACTGTCTGAGATGACTACTATGGACATCTCTATTCTCTATGATACTAATAATTCATTCAACATGTTCAATTTTTTAAAACTCAAATCTTATGAGTTTTTCTACTAATGTCTGTTTAAACTATTATTATGTGTTCCATTTATAAATTTTAAGATTGTCAATTTTTTTGCAATAGAAATGTGTTAACATGATTGGGTAAGACCCATCATTATTTTTTCAATGATTCAATTTTGTAATGAATGATTTTTAATTTGTTATTTATGAATTTACATGACAAAAATTGACTTAAAAAAAGAAAATATATGTGATATTTAATTAAATCCAAAATTACTTTTGACCCAAATAGGCCCACAACTGTGTAGACCTAGTAATTATTACCTACAAAACCAAAAAGTGATTTAGTTGAATCCTTTAACATGAGAGAATGGATCACAAAAAATTGTATATGGTTATAGTTAGATTTGTCTATAGCATAATTACTTGCAGAAAATAAATTATTGAAATGTAGACTTTATTTGGTGAATTGATATTGAAGTTTATGTAAAAGTAAATAAGTAATCTTTTTACATTATCACACTGCCTTCCATGAAACTCTTGAGGTGAAATATGAAATCAATAAATTTGATTTCCATCTCAGAAAATATAGTTTTGAAGTGCATATTGATAACTTCTCATTTTAAAAAATGCTTATGTTTAAAAATAAAATTCCACCAAATCTTCAAATTTTTAAACTCAAAGATTAGTTTTTAAGGTATGAATTCACGGTCAATCACAATCCTGGAAAAACCAATGTAATTTTAAATTATCTCTTAAAAACAAATCTCTTAAAAAATTCATTCAAATAATTTTCTCCACTCATTTTTACCTTCTAATAATAATAATGAATTTAGAACCATCATCGTCTTATTCTAAGTCTTCTATCCACAAAATTTTTCACTT